CTGCGGGAAGGGTTGGAAGCCACGAGACTCACCCATTCCTCCTTGGGAATCCTTGAATTCCTGTTGTTGAGCCTCAATCTTCACTGAGGGCCAGTCATCAACTGTTTAAGTGTTCAATTATCAATAAGCTGAAGTCTGTAGGAGGCCATAATGGCCCTGCTTTAAGTGGTTCACTACTCCCGCCGCTCACCATGCTGTCTCTGCCTCCGCTGCCATCTATAACCACATCTTTTTAGGTCCCTGCTGGATCGTTCCCATTTCCTTTACCCCTTGCCAAAGTAAAAAAACTGGACTCACTCAAAAAATGATGAGGTTTACTTTTTTTTTTGCCCCAGTGAAATTGTACATAGTTTTAGAGTGCTAATAATATCATGTGATGGAGGCAAAGATGACATGCAATTATTAATATTCAAAAAAAATTTACAACCTCACTGGCAAAAAATAATTTAAAAATAGTAAATCTTCTCACCACACTTTGAAAGCATCTCATTTCCTTACTGTGGTCTTCATGGAGCCTTATCACTTTCCCTGTCTGCCTCTTCCTCTAATCTCTAACTACTTTCTGTACAGTCACTATAAGCCCACACACTTGGGTCTTCTTTCTGTATCTCAAACATACTCAGCTTGGTCCCTTTTGGGATCTCTTCACATGCATTCCTCTCCTAACAGCACTCCTCCTTCAGGTTTTCCAAAGGCTACCTTCTTCTCAGATCAAATATAACCTTTTCAGTCATAAGATGTGCCCCATTGTAATTACCCCATCACATTTATCACAACACTAATCTGCTGCTGCTGCCACCATGACATTCATTATCATCTGACGACATCTTGGCTTTTTGAATTCACTTTCTGTGAGAATCTCCTACCCCATAAAAACCAGTGAGTCATCTGCTTTACACACCAGTGCTCACAAGAGTACCTGGTTCAGAGCAGATTCTTGTTAAGTATTCAGTGAGTTAATAGATAAAACCGTTCAATAAGCATGCGCTAAGGAACCACTGCAAAGCTGTTCAATGAGACCTTCATCTTCAGCTCAGACCACCCTGAAGATGGAGCACTTCCAACAAGGAAAACTGAAAATGCCTTTTGACCAGTCAGTTCTCATCAGCTGTAAAGTATTCCACTAACAAGCAATAAAATTGTCCTCAAAATAATAGTTAAGAAACAGTGAATACCTTAAGATCGAATTTTAGACAAATGCAAAAATGAATTTAAAAAGTTATCACAGATAAGTTTTACATATCTAGATGAATATCCAAAAGTGTCTGAAAGGGAGATTTTTCTTGGCCCTGCTAATTTTGATTCCTAGCCAATTCCTTGGTGTGAAGTTGCTATCAGAATTTTCCGTAAATCTTTTCATAGTCATTTTATATAAATAGGCATCGTACTCTATATATAGGTTTCATTGGAATGGTGAAGGATTATCACTCTCACAAATCATGACTTAAAGAATATCTTCCATATTTCTTATTTATAGTGTATAAACAGGTGGACCCTAACTCTAGTTTATTAAAATGCAAATGCTCTCTGAAACTCCAATTTTTCCTTTAGGAAATTGACTTAAAGATCTAATTAACTCTTTGGACTATAACGGTATTCATTGTTGTTGTTGTTATGTGTCATTGAGTTGCTTATGACACATAGCAATTCTGTGTACAACAGATCTGAATCCTGCCCTATCCTGAAACAGTCTCACTGACTCTGATACACCTAATCCCATCGCCCCACTTAACTTGTCAATCTAGCTCGTCTGGTCTTTCTCTCCTGTGCTGTCTCTCCACCCTTCTGAGCGTGAAGGATTAATCCTTTTCCAAGGATTAATCTCCCCGGCCATGTGCCCAAAGTATGTGAGACAGAGCTTCAAAATCTTAGCCTCCATTGAGAAACATGGTTTCACCCTCTCCAAGACAGACCTATTTGTTTTCTTGGCAGTCCATGGTATGTTCAAGACTCTTCTCCAGTACAACTTCAAGGCATCAATTCTTCCATCATCCTTAGTCATTGTCCAGCTCTCTGATACATAGCACATAATTGTGAATACCATGGCCTGGATTGGGGGCATGTCTTAGTTTCCAGACTGACATCATTGCTCCTCAGCACTCTGGAGAGGTCCCTGACAGAAGACTTCCCGAGTACAATTTGTCCTTTGATTTCTTGACTGCTTTTGCCAAGAATGATGATTGTGGAGTCAAGCAAGTTGAAATTCTTAACATCTTCAATCTCTTCTCCATCTATCATGGTGCTTGCCAATGGCCAATGGCACAGTGTTGAGAATCTTTGTCTTCTTGATGTTAAGCTTCAATCCCTATTAAAGACTATAATACTTGACCTTCTGTAATAAATGCTTCAGGGCCTCCTCAGTTTCAGCAAACAAGGTTATATCATCTGCATAACGCAGATAGTTGATAAGTCTTCTTCAATCCTGATGTCACTCTCTTCCTCACAAGCCCAACCTCTTGAATGGTCTGTTCCACATATAGACTGAAGTGGTATGGAGAACAGGACGCATCCCTGACGCATTCCTTTCCTAATTTTGAACCGTGCAGTATTTCATTATAATGTTATTTCTAAAAGAAACCTTAAATGCTCAATAATACGACATCAGTTATAGTCACTAAGAGAAATTCTGTTGCTTCTTAATGGCATACAATGAGTTCATTAAGCTGAAATAAGCTGCAAAGTTATTTGATCCCATGGTGTTAATCATAATATATGTGTATGTTTTGTTGTTGTTGTTGTTGTGTGTTGTCGAGTCAAAATAGACCCATAGGTGACCCTCCAGCAGGTTTTCAGAGGCAGTTACTTACTTGCATAGGAGGAGATTGCCCTACCTTCTCTTTCTAGGATAGTGTAGCTTCTTACCACCCAGCCACCAGAGCTCCCTAGCATACATATTCATTAAATATGCATATGCATATGCATATGTGAAAGAGAAAAAGAGAATGAGAAAATATGGAAAATGTCGAAGACATACACTAACTTGAGAATGTTAACATGTTCTAGTGGTTTCAATGGACAAAAAGATTGTAGATTTTTTTTTATCTGAGTTTTTGTTTCTCTTTGTCCTGATAGAAATTTTCTTTTCTTAAAATGAGTAGTTGCCACTACCAGTACTTTTAAAACTGTAAAATTATTCGTTGAAAATACGGTGATGATCAGAATGAGCCCAATCACATAAGAAACACCCTTCATTGCAGATTTCTTAATCCATTTATCCCACCAGAAATATAAATTTCATCTCTGACATAAACCTTTCAGCTCAAAATAGACAAGTTGAACCTTCTCTACTGAGGATGCCTTGTCAAATGGTTCCTTCAATTCTCATCTGCTTTGACACTGTTGGATGGCCATTTCTTCTTACCCTTTCATCTCCAGGAAGGCACATTTCCCACTCTACTCTCTCACTTAGATGTATTTATTATGTTCATAGACTTCTCTTCATTTGGATAAAAATTAATACCTCAGGAGCTCTGTTTTTTGATACTCTAGCACTTACTCCATCATTCACACAAATCTGTGATTCCTGCTTTCTTTTTTTCTCTCAACCCTTGTACCTCCAACCCATATGATGAAATTCCAGCTCCAGACCAAAATCTCCCTCAAATTCTACAAACAACTCTAACTCACGAGACCTAATATGTTTCCCCTTTCCCAATTTTTTTAATTCTTTATTTAACCATTCTGGCCCATGAATGAGAGCTATCCTAGATATTTCTCTTTAGCCCATAGTGACTAACACTTTTTCCACCTAAACTTTTACCATCCCTACCTTGTGAAAGTCAGTAAGCAAATAGTAAATGTCCAAGGCCTGCCACACAGAAAGAGAAAGTCACTCAATCCAGAATTCAGACAAAAACCTGGAGGTGTGATTAACCTTGCATGGCTTCAAATGTTGAGGGAGTCAGTACCATAAAATTCTACAGCCCTTGACCACTCTGACCTAGTAGACATTGTCCAATCTAAAGTGAACTGACACCATCTCTGAAAGATACGATACTTCCAGAAACAAGGACAGCAGCAGGAGGCCCTTAGTCCTCATCTCACATGTGGCATTTCATCTGCTTTCCAAGGTTTTGCAAGTAAATCAAAATAAAAGCAACCCTGTGCTAAATTAAGTCCTCTTTCTTGTCAAATGTTAGCCTAACTCGATTTGTCCCGATAGACTCCTAGAACCTGCTTTGATTGCCTTTTTTGCCCCTGTCCTCTTTATTAGCAGGTGCCCCATGCACTGCTCTCCATGACAATGCTCAGTTGTGCATTTTCTCCAGCATTAGATTCTCTCCCATCCCCATCCATTCTCCACGCTACCCCAGGAAGGGACTTCCCAACACGGAAGCCTGATGAATTTTTGTTCCTTACAAATCTAGGTAGCTTCCCTTTATCCAGAGTCCCCAGGTGGTGAAAAAGGTTAATAAGTTCAGCTGCCAGACTTGATTGGAAATTCCATCTTGTCTCAATGTCTCTTTGTCTCCTGGGCCCCCCATTCTCTTTCTTCCTCTCCTAGGGTCACCGTTGAATGTCCCCGCTGGCCGGGGCATAATTGGCGCCCAAACGTGGGGCCCCAGGAACGAGGAAGGACGATGAACACTGCCCGCTAGAAGTGACCGGCCGGCCCATCCATTGAGTCGCCGTGAGTCAGGGACCACGAGTGCAGACTCGCATTGTTGCCAGCCGCAGGACTATTCGCCCTGAGAGACAGGCACGGAGCTGCCGCCACAGGATTACCCGCCCTGTGAGAGAGGCACGAGAGGCAGCGAAATTATGCGACAGGGATTAAGTGAACATGAATTGTTCGTAAAGGGGATCAAGGATTTCCTCAAGGCAAAGAGGTATAAGGGTAACTAAAAAAGATTTAAAGAAATTTTTCTTGTTTTTAGAAGATGTTTGCCCATGGTTTCCACAAGAAGGAACTATTGATTCTAAGCAATGGCGTAGGGTAGGGGATTGTTTAAATGATTACCGTTGTTTCGTCCCTGACTACTTTTTCTTACTAAAAT